GGGGAAGGCTGGCCTGGGGCAGGGAGAGAGCTAGACCTGGGGCAGGGGGAAGGCCTGGCAGGCCTGTGGGAGGCCCGTGTACCACCCGGGGGCTGCTCTAGGACAGGAGCACAGCCATCCTCCAGGGCAGCCCTGACCTGAGCCTGCCACCCTGGGAGGGAGCCGATGTGGGGGCTGTGTGCCCAGTGTCTGCCACAGTGGAAAGGGCCAGAGGGCTCGGAGCCTGTGCTCAGCTGTGGCCTCCAGAGGAACGGGCTTCTGGGCAGATGACCGTGAGCCCTCCGCCCCCCGCCCCCCCACCCCGGCCCCGAGTCCAGGAGCGGGGGTGGGGCCGGCCTGGCTGCAGTCACAAGGCCTTAGGTGGCGCCAGGCTGGCACTGCTGCCGGGGCTCGGGTCTCCCGCTGACCTCCTGCTCCGGGCTCCCGGCGAGGTCAACCCGCTGTTCGTCCATCCGCTTGGCCTGCACCCTCTGGATGAGGCTGAAGAAGTCCTCGTCAGGCATGGTGGGGCCTCGGGGCAGCACGTCGGGAGGCGGGCAGCGCTGGTCGTCGATCCTGGCGGACTGGGCAGACACAGACACGGGGGTTGGCCTCGGAGGGCCCCCCCTAGCAGCTGGGCCAGTGCTCGGCGGCCTCGGGCACCACTCCACCACTCCCAGGCGGGGGCCACTGTCCAGCTGCAGGGCCAGCTCGGGAGGGCCTCCCTCCGTGCACCTGTACCATCAGCTCCGCGGGCACACCAGCAGCCCCGGCCCCGGGGGCGAGGGGCCTCCCCCAGGCTGCCCAGGGGCAGAGGACCGAACGATGCCCGCCAGACACGGGGTGAGGGGGCCGCCGGGCGGCCTTCCCGTGCCGCTCCCAAGGCCCCCCGATGGTGGTGCATTCAGGAGCCCCGCGGACAGGACCGGGGGCTCCCGGTGCCCGATGTGCGGAGGGGCTGGGGCTGGCGTGGGGCCGACGAGGCATTTGGGCTTCTCTGCAGGGTCTGGAGCAGAAAGGCCGGCAGCCGGTGCGGCCATCGGAGCCGGTGCGGCCGGGGGCTGGGGGCTCTCTGTAGGGCCGGCTTTGAGGCTCGTCGGACTCGCCCGGGGCCGCGCCTTGCTCGGCTCTGCGGAACGAACGGCACGTCCGGAAACTGCAGCGGCCCACACAGGCCACGCGGCTGGCCTTCCTGCAGCCGTTGCACGGGCTTCCTGACACCGTTGCCTGCCGTCTGGCCTTGCCCCAGCCGGGGCGGGTGGGGGACAGCGGCAGGTGGCCAGACCCCACAATGGTGAGAGCCCTCCCCGCTCGGGGCTGACGCCTGGCCCGAGGCCACCACATTGGGGACCCGGTGCTCCCCCCCCAGCTAGAGCTCCTGTACTGTGAGGGGCGGCTGAGGACGTCCGGGGTGACCTCTGGGGGGTCCCGGGAGGGGCCTCAGGTCGGAGCACTCACAGGCACTCAGTTCCCATCCGGCCCGAGACGGAAGGACCAGAGCCAGCTCCGGGCGGGAGGAGCCCCCACCCAAGACGAGGGCATAGGGGCGCCGGGCGACCTCGGGGCTGGGGTGGGGGCAGGCGGGCGAGCGCCCCCAGCCTCCCCCGACCGCAGGCCCACCTGGCACTTGATGAGCATGTTGAAGAACTCGTCCCCAGGCTCCTGCGGGTCCCCGTCGGCACGCAGGTGTCCCAGGTTGTTGTGGGTGATACGGAGCCCAGGCAAGCTGCCTACGCTGGCACGCTGGTCGTCCAGCCGGCGGCTCTGCGAGCTGGCGATCAGGTCGAAGAACTCTTCGGTCTGCGGGGAGGCCGTCAGCGAGGGCCGGGCTGTGGGGGACAAGGTGCAGGGAAGGGGACCCCACGAGGCAGGTCAGGCTGGAGCCCAGTCCAGCCCACCACACTCCTGGGCACACGGGGCTCCCGGCGGTGGCTCCGCGGCCCCCGGCCCCCGGCCCCCAGCTGCTCTCAGCTTCCTCTGCCATTTGCCCCACACCCGCTCTGGGGGCTTCTAGAAGGTGCCGGAGGAAAGCCTTGCTTCCCACGCCCGCTCCGAGACGGAGATGCCCTGACACGGTGTTCCGGAGGGCGGACATGATTACACACTTCCCGGGACGCAGCCTTGGGCGAGCGGGGGACGAGGAGCTCACAGTGACAGGGGGCACTTTTGCAGCTGGTGCGCCCGCCCCTCGGGAGCAAAGGCTCAGGGGGGCACGACGGTGGAGGGAGGGGGCTGAGCCTGGCCCAGCCCCACTCAAGGACAAGAGGAGCTCTCTGGGTGGAGGCGGGGGCACTCACCGACCCTCTCCTCCAGGCTGGGGGCGGCGGTGGCCTCGGCGGCCCCGGGCTGACCCTCCTCCAGGGTACAGCGCTGGTCATCCATGCGGCTGCTCTGGAACTTGCTCAGCAGGTCAAAGAAGCACTCCTCGTCGGAGGACGGGGCCCGAGGGATGCTCTGGGGGGCAGGGGCAGTCAGCGCCGGCTCTGGCCCAGCCCCTCAGACCCCTGCACACCCCTGAGGGAGCCGCGCGGCCCGGGACAAGGTTGGGACCCTCACCCCACCTGCCCCGCCTCCGCCATCCTCCCAGACGTGACGTTGCCACCCGCCCCCTACCTGCCCCAACGCGGTTCAGCAGCCGCCACCGCCCCCGGCCCCGCCCCTGGACACTATCACACACCGTGGCAGCCCCCGCAGTGAGCTCCCCTCTGCCCACGCCTCTGGGGCTCTGGCACCCAGCACAGCACTCCCCAGCGGCTGCTGAATGAACAAATGAAGGAGCGAGTGAGTGACGGGGCCCTCGGCAGGCAGCCTCACGGGCCATTTTGTGTATCACACTGGTCTGTACCAGGGTCCTGGCAGCAGTGATGGCGGACCCAGAGGTGCCAGCGACATCAGGTCAGATCTCCAAAGGCAAGGAGCCAGAGCTGGGGGAGGTGAGGCCTGCTGTGTTCCACCCTAGTCCCATCCCTTCTGGGGTTTGGGTCCTAGACCAGCGGACAGGCCCAGAGGATGCAGATGTGCGGGGTGTTCAGGCTAAAGCACCCTCCGCGTACTGGCCAAGGTGGCCAGGATCTGCTCTGGATGGCTGGGAGGCAGAGTCAGGACATGCTGGGAGCACAGGGACTCTGGCAGGCACTGTCAGTGTTCGGTGACACTGGGTGGCAGGAGGGCTGACCCTGGGGGACCTGCTAGGTCCAGGCAAGCCCCGCCGATGGGACCAGGGAGGGGCAGTGAGAAGCGGGAGACCGGGCCACCGGGCCTGCCTGCATCCCAGTTGGCAGGGGGGCCCTGGACAAGCCCCCTCCCACGCTGAGCCTCGGTTTACACATCCATAGGAGAGCAAGCTGGAAGCACCGGTCTCTTGGCCCCCCCAAGGGCAGGCGCCCCCACTAGCCTCCCCACGTCTGATCCAGAGCCCTGAGTGCTGACTGACGGATGGGGTGGCTTCCGGAGATCACCTTGGCTGCAGACCGGTGCCTGCCCCACGTCCTCCCTGCCTCCAGTGTCCCCTGCCCGGCCCTGTCCTTCCCCCTCCCAGCTGGCTGGTGGCCTCCTGGGGGCCCCTCAAAGCTGGGCTCCTGGAGACACCGCACAGCAGAAATGTCACCTAGCGGGGCCTGGCTCGGTCCTCGAATTCCCGACAACCCCTCGCCAGCCCGCTGCAGACACTGAGGGAGGCGAGCTTGCACACCTCCAGCCAGGGGCAGCCCCGGGGACCCCACGAGCAGGCCCAGCCTGGGCTCCCAGGTGCAGAGCCGGGCTCAGGCTGCAGGGCCACAGGGGCAGGGAGGGACAGAGGAGTGGGTGGTTCTGTGCGTGAGACCTGCCAGCAGGTGGCAGCTCGGAGGACAGAGACCCCGGCAGGGCTCTCAGGTCCCCCTCCCCCCCCCCCCACCTCCTGTCCCAGCAAGGCAGGCCTAGAGCCAAGGCTGGGGGTGGTTCAAGATCCCCCCCGACTCACGACTCTGCTCTGCTGCGCCCCGGCCTAAGACCCCACAGATCCCAGGGCACAAGGCACCGGAGGCTCAGGGGGCGCCCCGGCCAGGGGGCTGCACTTGGTCAAGGCCTCCTGGGGGAGCTGCAGGCAGGATGGCCAGGGCCCAGCATCAAGCTCCGCACTGGTGGGGGCCGCACAGGTGCCTCCCCCGGGGTGGTCGCTTGGGGCCCCAGACTCAGCCAGGTGTGGGGGTAAGCACAGCACCACCCCACCACAGGGGACAGTCTCTGCTCCTGGCCCCCGACACTGGCATCTGGCCCCAGCTGGGGCCCCCCCAGGTGGACTGGTGGGCCGGGCGAACAGAGCCAGGCCCCTCCCGGGAAAGAGGTAGCCCTGGGACCCCTCTTCTCTAGACACACGGGCCCCCAGCACTCCTCCAACCCCCCGTGGGCTGACCTCGGGGCTCAGGGGCACCCCTGAAGTAGGGCGGTGTCTACCCAGAGGCTTCTCGGGGACCCCAGCAGCACAGCAGGGGGCTGGGCCAAGAGGGCCCTGTGGGGCCATCCAGAGACAACCCCACAGCAGAGCCATCCTGGGCCACCTGTGAAGGGCTGGCGCTCCCCTTGTTGGGGGGGTTTGGGGCTGAGGCCGCAGGTGCACAGGGTGAGGCTCCAGACAGCAAGGAGGCCCCGCCCCCCCTCGATTAGCACAGCACCCCGGGTCCTAACAGGACACGCCCCCACCTCTCCTCTGCCCCTGCCTCTGGCTCCTTCTGTCTCAGGGGGTCTCCGAGCCCCTCCTGCTGGAGTGCCAGCCCGGGTCTTGCAAACCCCCCGCGCCCCCCAGGCCCAGGGCTGCCCCCCTCCAGCCCCCCAACCTGCTGGCCGGGGTTCCTGAGGCCCCAGGCCCCGAGGGGCGGGGGAGGTGGCTGGACTGGTGCACCAGCCCAGGAGGAGAGCTCCGCTCTGCCCCCATCCTGCTTCCCACCGGCCCCTGTGCTCCCTGAGCCTCCCCCTGTAGGGGACCCCACACTCACGCTGGGCACGCGGCTCCCTCCAGCAGCAGCGACCGGGCGCTAAGCGCTGTCTACTGTGGGGTGCTCCACCATGCGGTGCCCTGCCGCCTCGCTGCCCCTGTTGGCTCAGCGCTTAAATAGGACCCGGGGGAGGGCCGTCCCCGCCCCGGCCCCCCCACTGCACTCACTCGCTCCCGCGGCCGCGCACGAACACGCGCACGCACACACATGCACACGCATGCTCTGCAAACACGGAGGGCTCCTGCTGGGGCCTACGGGAGGGGGGTGGTCATGCCAGAGGGGCGAGGAGGACGGAGCCTATCTGGAAAGCGGTCGCCCTGCTGACGGAGGGGCCCGGCTTCCTTCCAAAGCCGAGTCAGCCCAGGAGAAGCCGCCTCGTTCTTCAGCCTGACTCCCCAGGCCGCTGAGGGAGCCAGAGGGATGCTTTCCCAGGGGCAGGGGCAGGGGCAGGGGCAGGGGCCGGGCGGCCACCACAGCCCCCGCCACTGGCCACGGGATCCCCTCCCTCCACTGGGAGGTCTGTGGAGTCTTGGCCTCTGGCCTGCCGGGGGCCCAGTGGGGGCCGGCCCTGGGGTGTGTGGGGAAGCTGGCTGGGGGCGAGGGCAGAAAGGGGAAAGGTGGAGCCCCCTGGGGCCCTCTCGGTCCCGCTCCTTCTACAGGGAGCTCAGAGCCCCAGGAGGAGGGCCGGCCCGCAGTTGTGTCTGCAGGGCAGGGGGAGGTCTGGGTCCAGGCCTCCAACTGGGGCCAGGCTTAGCGCTCATAAAAATTTCCTCCAAAGGCGCCCGCATTGCCCAAAGCCCTGCTGCCTTCTCAGAGGAGCTGAGCGGGGGTTCTAGGAACTGACCTTGGAACCCCAGTTCCACCATTGCTAGCTGTGCGCCCTCAGGCTAACTTCTTTGCTGCCCCGTGCCTCAACCTCCCCTCTTATGGCTGTTGAGCCCTGGCTATTGTTTCTGTTTGGTAGACGCACCCCCCTGCCCCCCACCAGCGGCAACAGGGACACGGCTAGGGCCAGGTTACCACGTGGAAAAGGCTGTCCTGTTCCAAAGCCCCCTGTGGCTCCCTGGTAGCTGGGGGTCCTCCCCTGCCAGGCCCTTTCTGGATGGACCCCCAACCTTTGAGTCTAGCCCAGCCCTCGACCACACCCAGTCACACCTCCCAAGACCCCCAAGTCCCCATGCGCTGGTGGCAAGGCCCCTGCACCGCTCGGCTGGGGGTCCCCAAACGCACAGTGCGGGCAATAGCCCCACCGTCTGGGGCCTCCATGGTGGCTCCGTCTCCTCACCTCTCACTCTACGGACACGGGCTGGCAGGTAGTGCTGAGGGAAGATGGGGTTGGCGGAGGCCCCCCAGGCTCGTGGGAAAGATGGGTGCAAAGCAGCCATCGGGGGGCTAAGAATACCAGCGCGGCGCCCACGCCCCTCAAAGGCTGGGAAGGTGCTGATTAAGCCCTCAGAGGCAATTATTTTTAGATCGAGTCCCAGATATTTGGACCCAGGCGTTCTGCACACGGGGAGGGGGGATGGTCCAGGCTGACCTCTGAACCTGGACTCACTGGGCACGTAGGTTTGCAGCCTGTACCTCCCAGACCCTGACCCGCTTCCAGCAGCCCAGACAGGCCAGCCCAGCCTCCTGGACACAGTGGGACACCTGCCAGGCAGCAGGAGGCCCCCTTCCCTCTGTCCCCCATCTGTCTGACCACCCGCCCGCCCATCCCTCACCCAACCGTCCCCCCAGGCCCCGTCCGTCCGTCCACCCCTGTGTGCTGCACACCCAGGACAGGGCTGCTCCCCGCAAGCCCCCCCTCCGGAGCCCCATCCACAAGGCCTCCTGTCCTCAGTGGCCGGGGGCCTTGCGGAGGCCGGACGCAACCGGCAGAACGCTGTCTGCGCTAAGTGTCCTGCACCATCCATAGGTGCCATGTCCGCCAGGCCCCGAGGCAGCACAGGGCCGTGGCCTCTGACCCCGGGGGGCGGCCCAGGTCGGCCGCTCGGCAGGGCACCCGAAGAGACGTCACCTACCGTGCGAGGCACCTGCACCCGGACGTCCGCGCTGTCCAGCGGGGAGTGGCCGCCCTCGCGGGGCCTCTCAGCGGTCTCCGGCCCCTCCTGGTACTTCCTGCTCCTCACGGGGAGCGGGAGCATGTCCCTGCCCGGCCCCCGCCACTCCCCCAGCTGGTGGCTGTCTCCATTCTGCTCCTGGGGAGAGGGAGGAGGCCAGGCATCGGTGGGGGCTGCAGCAATCCCCAACCAGTGCTCCCATCCCAGGACCCTGAGCGGGGGCTGGCGGGTACAGTGGCCCTGACTCTCAGACGCACCCAGGCCCTGAGGTGCCTCAGGGAGGAGGAAGAGAGCCTGAGGCCCGGAGGCTGGGAGGCTGACCCCACACTGAGCAGCCCTGGGCCTTGTCCCGCCACAGACCGCCCCAGGGGCACCCGCAACAAAGCCCAGCACACGCCTGAGGAACCAGAGGCTCGGAGAAGGGAGCTCACTCCCCCGGGGCTACACAGCACCCACCTCCGACGGGTACAGAGTGGGCCCAGAGCCTCCCCCTGCCCAGCTTCTGACTGGTCTGCTCTGCCCGTAACAGCTCTGCTTCCCCCGGGGCAGAGTCTCGGCCGACAGGGAGCAGGCGGGCACGGGGAACGGCTGGGACACTGGGGACTGTGGCCGGGTGGGGGCTTGGGGGCCTGCAGGTTGCGAGGACCGTGGCTTGTCCCCCGGGGGGGCATGGCTGGCGGGCCCCTGGGGTGAGTGGGAGGAAGTGGGGCCTCGTGGGGGCCTCTCTGGGGGCGGATGGCTGCTCCAGGGTCTCGGGCTGCAGAGAGGGCGCTCGCCCCCCACGGCGGGGACGGGGGACAGACGGGAGCTGGGCTGGGAGGCGGACGTTCGGCACCCATCACACCTGCCTCGTCAGCCCGCTGCCCACGCCCCGGCCGCCCAGCCTGAGCCCCACTCACCCGTTCCAGGGGGAGCCTCAGCAGGCCCCAGGTCTCTGCACTCAGCCTCTGTGTCCTCTTGGGCCTGGCACCTGGAAGACAGGGGGCCCAGTCAGCCTGGCACTGACCCTCGGCCAAGAGGCGGGCCGGCCCAGGCCAGGGCCCTCCGGAGGGCCTGCACCCTGGGGCCCGCAGATGAACCGCCCACGTCACCGTCTCCACGGAAGCAAACGCAGTGTCTGCACGACCTCGCACGCCCCACCCGGCAAGCAGCCGAGCGTGGAGATGGGCTGACCCTGCAGGGGCCTGGCAGGGGGTCTGGCTGTGCTGCCCCCGTGCCCGCCCTTAAGGGACTCCGTTCACCCCCCACCCTGCACGCACATGGGCAGCCCAGATCCTCCCAGGAGCTGAGCACCCCTCTACCTGCAGACACGTGCTGGGCACCAACCGGGTGCCCCAGGGGCCCTTGTCCAAGCGTGGGGCCGCATGAGGCAAGGAGGCACTGTGGGTAGGGCGAGCAAGGCAGATGCCCCAGGAGTCATGTCTGGGCAGCACTGGACCTGGGACCCATTACCCTCCCTCAAGCTCAGTACCCCCGTCAGACTGAGCCTGCACCACACAGGGAGCTCGTGGGAAGCATCTTATGGCGCCTGGCATGTTGTGGACACCCACAGTCCACGTCGCGGTGAAGCCTTGCCCTCTGGCTACCCCAGCACTGAGCTCACTGGTGACGCCGTGCCACGGACAGCACGGGGCACGTGCCCCACCAGCGGCAGCGAGGCCAGGCAGGGAGCCCTCAGCTCGGCCCCCGACCCCACCTCGGGCCCCCGGCTCTGAGCCCACACCCACTGCCCAAGACACGGTCCCCAGAGAGGGGCCGTCCAGGAGGTCAGGCATTCAGACCAGCCCGAACCAAATGCCCAGGGAGTCCTAGGAACGGAGGAGATGGTGTGGGCGGCTGGCCTCCGGGCTCTGAGGAAGCTATGCCCTGTTCTCTACCCTCCAGAGGCCGGGTAGAAAAGCAGAGATCTTGGAGGAGGGGCTTCTGTGGCTGCTGTCCAGGGAGGGGACAGCAGGCAGCCGTGTGGGTCCAGGACTTGGGGCTGCCTGCCGCCCCTCCCGCCCCCCCCAGCAGGGCCCCATCCCCCCAACTTTGGCCACGTGGTCAGCACCGGGTCTGCCTCTGCCCCCTGAGAACGGCCCCTGGCCACCGGGCCTTGCCCAGCTGTGCAGCCGGAGCCTGACCCCGTGTTGTGAGGCCCAAGGAGATGGGGCAGGGTCCCCACTGCCCATCCCTCCCCGGATCAGACAAGCAGCTCTGAAGGAACAATGTGATCATTCCAACACCAAACTGTCTGGGGGCATCGCCTGGCCCGGGGAGTGATAGGGGGACAGCTGAGCGGTCCTGTGCATGGCCCTGTACTCACCACAGCCAGCGAAAACCCGGCCCCTTTCTCGGCCGCCCCCTGACACCCGGGGGGTCTGACTCGCCTTCCCCACTTTGTCTGCTGGGGCCCGCCTGGCTGGACCGTCAGGCCCAGGCCGTGGCGGAGGCTGAAATGTTCCTCTGAGACACAGCTTGTGTCCGGCTCCAGGGCGGGTCCCCTCATGGCCCTCGGGGCCCGGCTAAATGCACCCTCTGTGCGGGCTGCGCGCGCACTGGGGCATTCAGGCCAGAGCCACGCTGGCGGGCTTCCCGCTCCACCCACCCCAGAGGGGAAGGTCTGGAAACTTCCCTGAGCACCACCCCACTCCCGCCTGAGTCTGACCAGAATCATTTCTGTCCCCACCAGGCTGGCCAGGCCCCATCCCGCCCCTCCCGCATGCAGCCGGCCCGCTTAGGCGCACAACTCAGCTTCTAGCTGCTGGGCTGTGTCCCTCCAACTCCTTCCTGCCTTCAGTCTCAACTTCCAAAATCCTGGCAGGTCCTCCTTCAAAACAGATCCAGAATCCGACCCCTCCTCACCTTGCCGGGACCTGAGTGTCACGTCCCTCACCCGCCTCTCTGCTCTCTTTGTCCCTTATACATGCTGGGGGCCCCGGGGATGCCCATAGGGCCTGGGTGAGATCTTCTTCCTCTGCTCACCCTGCAGGGCCCCTGGCACGGGGAGGGGCTTGCACAGGGCAGAGGTTCTCCCGCTCCCTGCTGCTCCTCTTAGCCAGCCTTACCCAGGCCCTGAGGCCTTTGCATGGCTGTCCTCCGTTCAGGCTCACTCCCTTCTCCCCTTTCAGCCTCTGCTCAGAAGTCACTACTATGGGGCAAACGTTTGCGTCCCCCAAATTCCACACTGAAGACCCCACCCCCAACGCGATGACATCAGCGAGCGGGGTCTTGGGGGTGATTAGGGTTAGCTGAGGTCATGAGGGTGGCTCCGGGGATGGGGCTGGTGCCCTTATGAGAAGACACTGGGGAGCTCCCTCCAGCCCCACACCACCCCTGCAAACCGGGAAGAGGGCCGTCACCGGGACCGGCCGTGCGGGCACCCTGCTCCCGGACCCGCAGCCTCCAGAGCCGCAGGAAGTGGACATTCATCTTTGCAAGCCGCCTGGTGTGTGGTGTTCTGTTCCTGGGCCGAGCTGAGGGCGACAGCGGCCTCCACGCGGCCCACGCGGCACGCCCACCCGGCCGCTCGGCTTTTTTCGTCCCCAAGCGCTTGCTCATTCCCAGGCACGCCTTGTTTTTTTGTTTATCGCTGTTTGCCACATACTGGTCGTTTCTGGCTACCTTTGCCGGTTACGCTCCCCGGTGTGTCCCAAGCCTGGCTTCAACGGGGCTTGGCACACCAGGGGACCTGGGAGGCCTGACCCAGTCAGGCAGCAGTGTCAGGACTCGTCCTGGGGCCTCTGCTGGGATGGGGCTGCAAGGCTGCTGAGGTCAACCTGTAAATTGGGTCCCCCAGTTGCATAAAGGGCCCTTGTTTTATCAGGAAAGAAAACCCCTTGGGTCCTGGCCTCCAGGACCAGCCACGGGCCCCGCCCACCGCGGTCCCCGCCCACCGGCCCCAGGCTTCTTCCCTCCCAGAAGCAGCCTGAGGCATCTTCCCTGGGCTCCAGCTGGGTCAACACCCTTCCCTGGCGCTCACCTGGTCCCCCCTTCATCCCCCCCCCCCCCCCCCCCCCCCCCCCCCCCCCCGCTGCCAAACGGCCAGGCTCGACACAGGCCAGTGCAGCATCCCCGCCCCAAGGGGCAGTTTCCAGGCCAGTGCCCACGTTCAGTGTGCACTGGACAAATGAGTGGGTGAGTAATGCCACCCCCGTAGGAGACTCCTGGGGCACTCCGTCCACAAGGCCCCGGCCCCGCTGGGCTCACCTGAGTGGGGGGGGGGGGGCTCCTCCACGGCGGCCCAGACTCAGCAGCCGCATCCCCGGGCCTGGGGCCCCCACACCTGCCTCCGTGGCCCGGAGCAGGCTGCTCTGGAGAAGGGCCTCTGCCCGGCCTCGGCCGGTGGCCCAGCGCTGGCAGCCTGGCAGGGAGGGGGCTTCCGGGGGCCCCGGCTGGGAAGGGTCTGGGCACAGGGCAGAGCAGCAGGGCTGGCGTGGGAAGGACAGAAGCTGCCTTGTTCCCAGCACAGCCCAGCCCTCCACCCGTGATGCGCCCCCCTTTCCTCAGCTCAGAAGAGGGAAAGTTGCCGGAGAACCTGGAGCTGGCCGCAGCCCGGGGGAGCCTTTCCAGAAGCCCTCTGGGCCGGGCCCTGCCCCCACCCACTGCTGGGTGTCGCAGAGGGCGGCCTCACAGGGCCAGGGGCTCCAAACAGAGTTGCCCACCCTCAGAAAACCCCCGCCCAAAGGGAGCCACGGTCTTGTACATCCTGGGGCAGGGTGGGGGGCAGAGGGGGGCCCTCTCCCATCCCATCCCTTGCAGCCACATCACCCCAAAACAAGGGTGGCCGGGGGTCCCAGAAACCTTCGCACCCTCCCTTCCGTCTCAGCCCCTGAGGCGGGGTGGGGACACGTGCCTCCCCTTGCCCAGGACAGGCATCGTTAGAAACCCTGGAGCCTCTCCACCGCGGCCAGGTGCCACTTCCCGGGGCCTCATTCTCTGCAGGCCTGATGGGCTCGAGGTTGGGGCAGGTGGGTACCCCTAGGGAACACAGCCACGAGGGGATTGGGGCCAGACTCCCCGCAGCCTGGGGTCGGTGCAGGCAGGGAGGGGGCAGCTAGCGCCCTGTGCAGAGCCCCACACCCGCCTGCAGCCACGGGGGAAGCCAGCTCGGGGTGGCCCCCCCCAGCCCCCTATTTACCCATTTGCTCTGCAAGGAACATCCCGCCCTGCGTGCCTAGCAATGTTCACCCACATGGGGCTACAGCAGCCCGGGACTGAGATCAACATAGCTGTCTTGGCTGGTCTTGGCTGGTCCCAGGGCTCACCTGAGTAGTGCCCCGCCCGGAGGGAGGCTCTACATCTCTGGCTGACTCAGCCTCCCCCTCTGGCCCCCAGGCCCAGCTCTGAGCCCGAGGTTGGGGGGGTCCTCAGCCCTTAAGGGGATGGAGCGCGGAGGGAGGGGCAGTGAGTGCCCCTCCCTCCCCCTCCTAGCCAGGGGATCAACCTGGGGGGCTCAGAGTGACTTCAGGCCCTCGCTGGCCCAGAGACCGTGAAGCACCAGCCCGAAGGCCTCCCGTTCAGGACACACCTTCGCCCACACCGCCCCTGCCCCCGAACACCCCTTTCCACCCCGTGCTTCCCAATCTCGGATTCCTAACCTGACCTGGGGAAACAGGGCCCCTCGTCTGTGCCCCGAGCACCCTGGACACCCGGTCACCCCCCGCGCCCCCGGGAGCTCCAGAGCAGGGCGGAGAAGTGGTGTGGACAGACACCCCCAGCGACGGGGGCTTGCCACCCTCACTGGGCAGTTCTGTCACAAGGGCTCCTGTGGGCAGAGGCCACCTCCCCGTAGACCTGCACCCGGAAGCCCAGCACCGTCCCGAGGCCCAAGCCTTGAACTCTCCGGGCGGTCCTCCTGCCACACCCCTGCCCACCCAGCCCGGGACTCACCTTGGGCCTCGTAGCCGGCCAGGTCGGGCTTCTCCGTGGCCGCGGGGCTGCTCAGCCGGCCCAGCACCAGCTGCAACTGTGCCACGTTCATGCGGGCCGTGAGCTCCCCGTTTCGGTCCCCGATCTGTAGCCAAGCGGGGCCAGATTGGGGGGCAGGTGGGCTCGGGGACTCCTATAGACAATCATGAGCCCTGCGCCTCCCAGGGAACCAGGCCTCCCTGTGCCCCAGGGGCGCCCCTCACACCCCAGAACGCTGGGGGCGCCGCGTGAGGCCCTCCTTCCCGAGCGCCCTCCCGAGGACAGGTGGTCTGGTCCAGACTCCAGCTTTCTCGGCCCCTTGGAGCCTCACGTGCACCCTTCAGGCACCCCCAGCTCAGAGCAGAGGCTCAGCACGGGCCGAGAAGTGCAGAGAAGTGAGGTGGGCCCGGGCCGGGCCTCGACTGAAGCTCTGGGGCCGCTGGCGTGCCCCCACCCGTGCTCAGGGGGCTGTGGGGCTGGCCCTGCTGGTGGCCCCGGTTGGCAGGGGGGTGGGGGACTCTCCTGGCCCCAGCTTCCCTGCTCCTCCCCACCGCCTGGGCTCCGGTGGGTCTCACCCACAACAGACACGGGGCCGTGATGGGTCTGGGCAGGTGCTGGGCATGTGCTGGAGGGAGGTGGCCGTGCCGCTGGGGCCAAGGAGAAGGATGGGGCGGAGGTAAGAGGGCCAACCAGAAACCAGGGAGCCGGAGGTCACCCGTGATGCCCTGTGGCACCCGGCCGTGGACCACCCAGACCTCAGTAGGAGGGTCCTGCGTGCAGACAGGCTCTCAAAGACCCTGTCTACCGTCCCCAAGGTGTCCAGCTGGAAGGTTCCAGGGGAAGAGCCCCAAGGGCAGCCTGCGGTAGGTCATGCCCACCTTGCCCTGCCCGCAGGGAATGCCAACACTTCAGGTGGAAAGCAGGCCACTGCTCCCCTCCCCCCACCCCCTGGCTACACCAGATAAGCTGCCATCAGGCGTCTGCAGGCAGGGGGTGGCGCCCCCCCCCCCCCCCCCCCCCCCCCCCCCCCCGCCTCCAGTGCACAACGGCAGCCTGGAAAGGACGGAGGAGCAGGCTGGGCGAGAGGCGCCCTGCCTGGTCCAAAGGGAGCTGAGCAGCACCGGGGGAGTCTCCAGCAGGGGGGCAGGCCTGGCTTACCTCCTGGGAGATCTCCAGGTGCTTCTTGGCGAAGGTCAGGGCCTGTGCCGGGCTCCCCATGGACACGTAGGCATTCCCCAAGCTCCAGCACGCCCGGCCCTCTCCCACTCTGCCAGGGAGGGAAACCGAGTCCACTTCTGCAGCCCCCAGGCCGTCAGGCCGGTCCTGACGGGAGCGCAGCAGGCCCGGCCTGAAGTGCCCGCCTCGGCCTCCCTCGCCCCCTAGTGGCCGGCGAGGATCTCACCCCTGCGGCTCCCTCCACCCTTGGGTGCGGGGCAGTCCCTCGGGTCATTAATCTTTCAATTCAGGTGGAAATCACAAAGCCTAAATCTAACGGATTAAGCGCGCCTCGGCGCGTGGCACTGTGCGTGCTTACAACCCACGGCCATTGCCCGCGATCCGCTTCCGAAACACCGCCCGCCCCCACCGCGCGCGCACCTGTCGGCCAGCTCCTGGGCGATGAGCAGGTGCCGAAGGTGGTACTCGGCCGAGCGCTCGTAGTCCTGCAGCAGAGTGTAGGTGTTGCCCAGGCTGTAGCAGGCCTGTGCCTCCACCGCCTGGTCCTTGAGCTGCCGGGACAGCTGCAGCGTCTTCCTGCGAGAGGGGGAGGCTCAGCCCCAGCAAGGAGAGCTCCGGGAGCCCTCTCTGGGGACGCGGCGCCGCTCACAGCCCCCAGCCGAGGGGTGGACGGAGGGCGGGGGGGGGGGGCAGCGGTCCACCAGCCCCGGGATCCCACCGGGGTGTCTCTGGAGCCCCGTCACTGCTGGACCCGCACTGGCCAGTCACCTCCCCACCCCGAGCCTCCGCCCTGCATGGGGGACGGGGGACAGCACACCCCAGCCCGGGCTCCGGACGCCCGGGACCTGGTGCTGACGACCCGGCCTGTGCCCGGTGGTCACCACTCTGCTCCTCAAGCCACAGGGCGGCTGGCAGAGCATCCTCCCAGGAGCCCGTGTGATCTCCACCCTCTGGGTCCACACACGGAGGATTATACCCGCACTCCAGAGGTATCGTGGGGCGCAAACACAGCTCTGGGGTTCCCCCAGTAACTGGCACTGGGAGGCCCTCAGCCGCGGTTAGCTGTGTCCCTGGCACAGAGCGGCTTCTGCCCGCACTTACCGAGTGAAGGGCACCATAGTCCTTCCTGTCCCCGGCAGCCCCAGGACCCCGGCTTTGTCAGTCTGCCCTTCCAGGCTGTGGCCCAGAACCCCCCCCCCCCGTCTGGCCCCTAGAGAGGCTGGGAGGTCAGACCCACCTCCCGACCTTGGGCTGGTGTCCAGGGGCCCCCTCCCCCGAGCCGGGCGGGTGGGGTTGGGCAGGGGTGGGGGTGGGCGGGCAGGCCTGCCTACTTGTAGTACTCGGCGGCCACGTCAAAGCGCCCCAGGAAGATGTGGGCGTTCCCCAGGTTGCTGTACGCCCTCCTCTCGGCCGCCTTGTCTCCAAATTCCTTAGCAATGGCCAGGCGCTGGGGACACAGACCCGAGGCCCGGGTGGTCACGGAGCAGCCCCGGGACCCGATGTGGATGGCGGGGGTGGCCTCCCCGCCCAGCGTGGCCAGCCCGAAGTCTGCACGTCTGGCGAGAGCAGCCTGGGACCCTGAGCCAAGCCCAGACGAAGCGAGGCAGCTGGCCCCCCACCCCCGCCCCGCAGGGGACTCACCTCCTTGTGGAAGGTCGTGGCCTCCACGAAGCTCCCCAGCAGGTAGTGTGTGTTGCCCAGGTTGCCATACGCCCTGCCCTGGGCCGCCCGGTCGCCCAGCTCCTTCACGAGGGACAGGTTCCTCCTGGGGGTTGCATCTGTCTGAGCCGTGGCCCTCTTGGTGCGAGGGAAGCAGGGGCTCATGACCCACCCGCCCGGCCAGAGGGGATGAGCAGGCAGCCTCCGCTCAGCTCCTGCTGGGAGCGTGCCCCAGAAAGAGGGCAGCTTGGGGCTCTAGAAGAGTGGCTCTAGGGAGCCACTAGAAGAGGGTGCTGTCTGAGCTCCGAGGCTCAGGTCAGGGGCTCCCCGGCCCCAGACTTTGGTTTTCGGGTGCAGCCTCTGTCCTCTTGCACCAGCGTCCTCCCCAGCACAGAGGCTCAGCCCAACATCCCCGCCCTATTTCCAGCCAAACGTTTTCTAAATGCCACGTGTGGCTTTTGCTCGGCCGTTTCCCTGCCTCTCCGCGCTGCTGTGCGTGAGTTATGTGCGGGAAGCCTAGGAGGCCTGAGGGTGGGTGGGGCTGGGGAAGGAGAGCCGGCCTGGCTGTCACCATGCGGGGGTCTGCAGAGAGGTGATGGGGCCAGATATGGGTGCTCCGTGCCTGGGATCCCGCGCCCACCGCAGCGGCTCGGGAAGCGCTACGGCCAGACCCCGGCCCGTGGTGCCCCCGCCTGCCCCACTCACTCATAGAACTCGGAGGCTCTGCGCAGTGGCTCCCGGACATGGGGCGGCAGGTGCCCGGGGTCCTGTGCGGCGTTCCAGGAGAGCTGCTTGCCCTTGGCGTGGTACACGTTGCCGATGTTGTACAATGCCCTGGCCTCCC